AACAGATACTCTGCTGATCAGTGCGGCAGAACAGCTTCATCACCTCGTCGTGACGAGAGCAGATGTTCTCCTGGAGCTTCTTGGAGGGCTCCACCAGCTTGTGTTTTTTAAAGACAGGTGATTCATAATGAGGCTGGAGGTGTTGGTCACAGTAAGAGGCCAGACACACGAGGCAGGACTTACAGGCTCTCAGTTTCCTCCCAGTGCACACATCACACGCCACATCTCCAGCTCCAGCATAGCAGAGATCAGCAGGAGCAGGTGGGGGTCCAGTCTTCTTCAGCTCCTCCACTAAAGCTGCTATGATGGTGTTTTTCAGCAGGACAGGCCTCGGTGTGAAGCTCTGCCTACACTGAGGGCAGCTGTGGATCTTCTTCTCATCCTCTCCATCCCAGAAGCCTTTAATACACTTCATGCAGTAGCTGTGTCCACAGGTAGTCGTCACCGGATCCTTCAGTAGATCCAGACAGACCGGACAAGATAAGATTTCCCGGTCCAGCTGAACTCCTTTCTGCGCCATTTCAGCTCTCAGTGAGAGCGAGTGTGTGAGTTTCACTTCCTGAGAACTGAAACTATGAGCTGTGATCTGAACAACATGTGTGGGCGGTGAATTTGGCCTATCAGCTCTTGTACTTTACGTTTTGGTTACACCCATCCTCCTCTGTGTGGATCTAAAGGGGAGGAACCAGGACATACAGAGTGGAGCTGGCTGTGTCTGAGAGCAGGAAGAAGAGGGAGGGCTCATCAATCTCTGACTCATTCCAGGAGGAGTTGCAGACACTCTGAACTGTTTCCTCCTTCACAAACGGAGCCTCGCTTATAACCTGCTCTTCATTTGAAAACAGTCTTCAGCTGAAAAATATCTCCTGTCCCCTCAGACTTTTGTAGCAGATAGCTCCGAACTACTAGTAAAGGTAGCACGTTACAGTTTCAGTTGCTAACACACACATCTCACATAAAGCATAATTATTTAAACTCACACTCAAAGAGCAAAACCTCAGCTCAAATCTCCAAAACTCTAAACACACTTTCAGCTCTGCACCCAGTTTGCAGTTCTGCTCGGCACTTTGTGCAAAACACTGCACACGGTTCTAGTAAGACACAGACATCTGAAAAATTAACTTGTTTGCCATTTTCAAAACACTGCCATTAAAAATGCTACACACATGAACCAACTAACAAATATGCATACCACATGACCGTAAACACCAAACTGCTTTATTGTTGACTCAGCAATCAGGATGTAAGCACTAGAAAAAGGCTTCATGTGAGAAATGTATAAAAACAACAATGGATATATGGACAGCAGCAAGAGGAGGAGGTAGAGGGAGGATGAACTGAAGTCAGTTGAAGAGATATTTGCATCATAACGGTTGAAGCTGTGTGACCGTCAGGCTATAGGTCAGGGGTGTCCAAATGTTTATCACCGAGGGCCACATACAGAAAAATATACGATGGGATGGCCCACTCACTAGAGGTATATTACCTCATAAGTTCTGTTCAAAGTTAGCAAACTCAATCAAATGTTGGTAAATTATTCTTGTGAGTGTTGGCAGCTCATCCCTTAAAACAGAAACCTCAGATTGATTATAATAAGGAGAAATAGGATGGGTGTATTTCAAGCTTGTTATGTAAATAAGTTATTGGGATTTTTATCTTATCAACTAAGATATGTTAGAAAATGCTTCCAACTTTAATTGACTGAATTTATTTGAAAAGTGTTCTTATTAACACATGAATACTATACTGTGTAATGTATTTTTACATTTATATTTAAAAAGTAAAATATAAAACAAGCACAAGTTTCATTTGTGGGCCGTATTCCATTGTACTTTTTTAATTTGCTGAGGGCCGATTCAAAATGGTCTGCGGGCCGCATTTGGCTCCCGGGCCGTGGTTTGGACACCCCATGCTTCTTCTGCAGGTTGATGAGGGGCTGTAGCCAGACCCAGATAGGTGGTGAAATGCAGACTAAGCACTCTTCTTTCCTCTTTTTTTTGGTAAAAATATTTTTTGTATTTCTTTTTCCTCAAAGTTTTCCGTTCAATTTACTGTATTTGACCCAGGCATAATTTGTGTTTACACAACTATAACTATGTATGGTGCATGCATATTGCACCTTTTCTCTTTTGAAGACAACTAAAAGTATAACAACAGTATATTTGTGTTAATCTGCACATATTTTTGTAGACTTGATCAATCTTTATATGCAAAATCTCAACATACAGAACACCATACTTTTCAAAAAGTGGTGGGGAAACAATTGGCCAGCCATTTCAAAAAGTTGTGGGGACATGTCCCCAGCGTCCCCAGCGCAGATTACGCTCATGGTGACAACCTGTTTAATAAACAACAACATGCAGTTCGTCAGTCCGTCCATCCCGTGGCGCTGTGAAATAAAGTGAGTCAGCGCCCAGGGGTTCAGAAGGAGAGACGCTGCACTCTGATTGGAGGAAGTGACCAGGAAGTGATACATCAACAAAGAAAGATGGCTGAAGTGATAGAGCTCCAGAAACTTAAGGTACGTACTGAGAATAAATATGTAATTATTACAAACATTGAGTGCTTTTATTAGTTCGTAATATGTTGTAACAATCTTTAGTTGTAATTCCAGAGAAGAAGGATACGGATAAATAGGGTTTTTGAAGTATAAAATGTGCCCGGCTAACAACCGGCGTGTTGTTCATTCAGCTGCGGAGCTAGCCGAGCAAACCGCTCCGAGACACGCTACAAACACACCGTTGACAACAATAAGCTGTTGGGAACTAGTTTATATTAACACAAAGCGGTGTGGTACTTATTTAGAAACGGAAATGTATCTCCTGCGGTTGGACGTAAAGTGTCCCGCCATCTCGGCCCAATTAAATTCGCAACATCATGTTTGACCTCCCACGGTCATAATTCATGTTAGCCAAACATTAGCCGGCAAATTAAATGACTACTGTTCTGGGATGCTATTTCAAAAGCTCTCTGAAAAACGATATACTGAAAAGCTAAGTCCTTAAAATGCTCACACAGAAAATATCATTGAACATTTCATGCTTAAATCATGCCAACAAATACCGTAGTATCCGCTTCGCAAATGTGAGTATTGTGAGTTTTTCTTTGTCCACTCAGGTTTTACAGGGAGTTCCTCTTGGTGTGTTGGACTGTTTATCCCACAAAACAACTTCAAATTGTCCCGCTGTATTTATAATGGGACACATGATTGATTATAGAAATAATAGCCGCATTAAATTAAAGCAAAAATGTTTACTGTGTGGTCCTTGACCAAATAAATTCTTATTCGAATAAAATTCATGGAATTGTGTCTACTGAATTGACTTTGTTGTGATCTTGTCTTATAAACACTTGTATTTAGAGTAAACCTCTATTAACTACACACTTTTTTCCCCCATTTGGGGGTATCTCCATGTGGATAATGTTGGAAGGAAAGTGAACAGGCTTTCAATCTTTTGGTCAAATCACTTTAATTTCAACAAGTCAATTGTTTTAATATTTTCAAGACACTTTGCGTAGGCTACCACCCAGCTCGTTAAAGGAAAGGAAAACAACTTCAAACCAGATGTGTTTGGTCAAATAAAGGTATTTATTAACAAGGAGCTTAGATATTTAATGCAAACTAAACTACATGTTCTGTGGGAGTGAAATCAGGTTTTATAACCGCTTGGCACAGTTCTCTGAAGCTACCTTAAAACTAGATTTACAAAGCAATACAACACAAATAACCATTATCAGCTCAGAAATGATAACAACAGGCAAATTGAAAATCGATGACGGCATCGCAATTTTCAAAAGAGCCAAGCTGTTCCAAGCCCCCAAATGAGTCGGGCTAGATAGCTCTGTGATCAGACAGGGAGGAGATGGGCAGTCTCATGCAGGCGACTACACATCCTTATCGGCACACAATCAAATGAAAGTGCTGTTCCTCTTGTTGTCTCAGCTTGCTGAACTGAGGCAGGAGTGTGAGGCCCGAGGTCTGGACACCAAGGGAAACAAAGGAGAGCTCATCGCCCGACTGCAGGCGTACCTGGAGGAGCACGGTGAGACGACAGACTTCACACTTAGACATGGTATTTATACTTGGTTAACTTGGTGGATGGAGTGAAATCTGAAACGCATGGACTTGATTTTTTTTTTTTTTAATTTGCCTGCCTACATTTTTGATTTAAGATGGTGGTATCTCTTTTCTATTCCGATCAATATCACGGATATCTCTTAACTGTTTTTTGTTCCTGCTCTCTGCTGGTTCTAAACGTCTCCTTCCCTTAATCCCAACAGAGGAAGATGTTGATGTCGATGATGTGCTGGCAGAGGACACGGAGGTAATGTGATGGCTGTTGTTTTCACTCGCCCTTTAAAATCTGATCCATTTTGTGAAGTAGTTGTAAACGTTTACATTTCTTCTTTTTAGGAATTCACTAAGGTCGATGGTGTTGATGGTGCCGACGATTTGAAAAGCGAGAAGGAGCCTACTGAGGAAGAGACGTACGTTATTTTTGTATTTAGTTCAATACAGAAAAAATAAACCTTTTTATATTAGAATTATTTCATGCAACGTACTTTTCTTCTTTTTTTTTCTTTTTCTGAACCCTACTTTGTCAAACACATATCACATACCCCTAATGTGTTGCTGGAGTTTTGACCTTGAAATATATTTTAAGCTTCAACAACCAGAAACCCTCACTCTGCTTCTAAGTGAATAACGGGGACACCAATTTTTGAAATTGATCTGCTGTGGAGTGAAAACGCTGCGTCCACTTTAAACTGAGTTGAAGGCAGTTTGAAGGCACTTTAAACAACAGTCTTCCACCTTGAATTGAAGGTGTTTAAATGTAATGTTATGCCCAAAATGCATACATCTAATTGACATTACTTCATTTCGGGTATTATTAGTTATCAGGGTTAGTATTTAAATGTCTGACATAGTTAGCCCCATACTCATAAACACAGGTTTAAAACGAGTCTTTAGTTATCACCACTAATAAATGTTTGGTCCTCTAACTTCTTTGTGTCACTTCTTTCAGAGCTGAAGATAAGAAGGTGGTGAAAATCGTTCCTCCATCATCTACTGGTGAAGTACGTATGACAAGCCTTTAATCTACACATCTTAATACAGACGTTAATGCATCATGTGGGAGTGATATCTGATCTTTAAAGACCAAGATCATCTATCCACGGTAGCTTTCAGCACTCATGTGAAAGAAGAGAGAAAATGCAAATATTGATCAGCAGCAGCAGAGAGCAGCTTTTGTTCTGATTCAAACACTTCCCTTTTGTTGAGCAGAGACTACAGAAGAGAGCTGAACGCTTCAACCTGCCGGCCACAGCTGAAAGCAAAAAGGCCATCCGTGCAGCAAGGTAGGACGGGATACTTCCGGCTTTTACTATTTTATTTCTGTGATTTGGCCGTTATTCTTACGGGTAATAATAACAATGGTCCGTCCTTCTTGAGATTAGAGGGGATGTAACAGAGGGTGTTTCTCAATGTCGAGGACGCTTGCTTGGTAGCACATGTCTTCCGAGTCACTTGCTTCAGTAGCGAGGCAAGAATCCTTCCTGGCATTCGGAAAACGAAGAGTGGAACAGGCGAGCAAGTGTGCAGGTGTGCGTCATATGAGAGGCCCCCGTCACAGATTTGAGGGAATTCGTCCGTGCGCAAAGCATTGTGGGGATTTTAAGACCGGAGTCTACACATGTGCAGCCTCCAAATTTCTCCAAACGAAGTACGCCGGGCTCGGTAGAATTCCAAGTATGCTGGACATTGGAACAGTCCTTCGGCGGCACTCGATGACGTAGTATGCTTGAAATAGTGGCTCTGGAGCAGCTTTCCTCGACATTGAGAAACACCCAGTTACTAAAAACTCCAAGGTTAACAAAACGTACTTTAAACAGAAAACGCATATGAGCAGTTACGGTGTTAAAAATAAATACATACAAAAAACTGAAACGGAGCATTCGTGGGGTCTATCTGGCATGCACTCAGTAAATGCCCCATGCACTCTATTTGTTTTTAAATAACTTCATGTCTTATTTGGGAATCTTTTCATGTTCTGCACTGCACCCTTTTTAAAAGTCAGCTCATATCACTCCGGGAAGCTTAGTACATAATACTTGAAGTGTGACCCTGTACACTTCAAAATAAAAGTCCATGCCCTCCACAAACTGCGGGTATTAGTCCACTGGATTTAAACTAGTAAATGTATTTAGCAATGTTGAAACAATGATGCTCCTTTTTGTTTAGGTTTGGTGAAACCACGGAGAAGTCCGCTCCAGCTCCCACCGCAGGTTAGTCTTTTCCTCAACTGAATTTCTATCTTCTCAAGGAACCAAAACAAAAAAGATGTGTAGTTGACGCCTCGTGAAGGTTTTGTCATTTCACATTTTAACTTTTGAAGCTTCTGTCGAGGTATTTTCTTATACCGTTTCCCACAACTGTATTTCCTTGTGTTCCAAGCAGGCGGTGTTGCGGCCGCTAAAGCTCCTGTAAGTGTTGCATAATTTACCCGACACATCTCTTGAATTCCTCTGCTCAACGACACGATGTTGATTAAAACCTTTCTGATGTCTCATGAAGGTGAACGTTGATCAGCTGAAGAAGAGAGCAGAACGATTTGGCATGAACGTCTCCTCCGTTTCACAAAAGGTGACGACCAGCTTCAATATGATCATGTTTCAACTCTTACATTTAGCACGGAAAGTGATGCTAAATATGTTTTTTTGTTTTTTTAAGATTGAAGAGGATGAGAAGCTGAAGAAGAGGAAGGAGCGGTTCGGGGTCACGGCAGCTTCAACAGGTGCAGTTGCTGCAGTGGCTGCAGTCGCTACAGCCGCTTCACCCGCTTCACCCGAAGTAGAGGTAGGTTTGGTTAGCGTGTTACTGGTTAGACAGGATATGTTCCTACAATGCAACGAGTTAAACAAGAAATAGATATTGTGTATTAATGTTCTTTCTCTTTTCCTACAGGCAAAGAAAATGAAGCGTGCGGAAAGATTTGGGATTGTGTGAAAAACATTTTAGAGCCTGTGTTTTTTTGTAAAGCATTTTCATTACTGCACAACCGAGATCCCGAAAGACAACAAATGACTCCGATAGGACTCCTGTCAATCAAAAGTATAATTTAGATCCAAAGATAAATGGATGGGTTAGACCCTGTAAAACAAACAAGAAAATAATCTCAAACAACTGAATTCAATCTACTTCCTTTTCATTTATCTTACTTTTTCTATTCAATTTGAGAGGTGTTTATAAACGGAAAAGGCATCATCAGTTTCTTTCTATTAACATCGATGTTCACGCGTCACTGTTTTTTCAAAGCTGCATTAAAGTTCATTTACAGTCTTTATCCAGAAACCTGCAGTATCTCCACAGTCAAATCCTTCCAGCTGTTTAGCGGAAATAATTTAATCTCTAAGTCTCAGGAAATATGTGCTGTTCAATCTTAAATCATAATGGGGCACTCGTCATCCACTAGAAAGGTCCCGAATCAAATGAGGAAGTGGAGGCAAAACAAAAATGCATTTATTGGGAGAATCTACAGGAAGCGTGAAGGCCACTTGAGTGTTGACTAAGCATCATAAAGACCAGTGAGGCTCTAACTGATTGGATAGATACAAATAGGAACTCAATCTGTGTCACATCCTAGATTAAGCAGGAACTAAAAGCAAACTAGTATCTTAATACACTTATACATACCACACGTAAATACAGAACTATGATTTTTCTGTCTGTTAAGTGCTTTAACTCACTCATTTGTCTGTACCTGTGTATTTAATTGTACTTTTGATTTATCAGACAGCCTATTGTTTTTTTCTGTGTTTTATCTTTGGGATTCCATTGGTTCACTGCTTCAGTTATCTGTCCATTTTATAACATTTTGTGATTTAAAATAAATTGTTTTCAACTTTTGGATATCTGCTTCTTTTGACTCTTGGTTGTTGTTTTGGTAAAAAATACTTATTTATTGTATCTGTGTATATCTTTATTCTATCCACAGTTTGCCATAGAGAGTCACAGACTGGACTTGATAAGTGACAGAAGATACAAATAATTAAAAGCTTAAGTAATGCTTAAAGTAGTTAGTTAATAACTTGGATACATAGATAATATGCCCGACCAAAAGGGTTTACAAAACACCATTATTTTTGAACGTAAATTACAAATAATGTAACAGATTCTTTTTTTTTAACCAAGTTTTATAGGTTGCAAACTTTGCTTTTTATTTCTATTCATATAGTTATATAACTAACTGTTAGGATACAACCGAAAAAAACGTGATTCATTCTCAACGTATCGTAATTGTTTTCACTGGACACACTACTGTCACTAGACATTAATCTGAGTAGCTTACTTTGCAATTGAATGTATTAGTTTCATACAGAATGGAAACTATTTTAGAGTGGTGTCATTACATGTCATTTGTTAGACGCTTTTATCCAAAGCGACTGACATACATTTACTGTGGACAATCCCCACAGGAGCAATTTGGGGTGAAGTGTTTTGCCCAGGGACACAACGACATGCTGAATGCAGTGGGAGTCGAACTTGCTATCCCCTGATTCGAAGTCCAGCACACTATCCACTGAGCCCCAGCCTCCTTGGTGTTATTCAGTAACTAAGTACATTTAATAGTACTGTATTTAAGTACATTTTTTGAGATACTTTACTTAAGTATTTCCATTTTATGCTACTTTGTACTTCAACTTCATACCTTTACTTACTTTGAAGATTTTTGATTTTTTTTTTACGTGAAATATAATCAACTCTTAAATCAGACTTTAGTTCCACCTGGAGCAAAATCACAAGCTACCCTTTAGTATACAAAGTCATTAAAACTAGCTTCACCTTTACCGGCTTTGATAACACTTGTAATGCATCAATAATAATAATCAGAACATTTAATATATATTATTCTGAGATTGGCCAATCTGCATAATGAGTGCTTTTGGTACTTCAAGTTTAATTTGATGCTAATACTTGTTCTACTTTTACTTGAGTAACATTTGAATGCAGAACTTTTACTTGTAACAGAGTATTCCTACACTCTGGTACTTCTCCCACCGTTGCTATTTTCTGATATATACTAATTTCCACTTTCAGTCCTCACAATGCAAATATATTACACATCTAGATTAACTTAATAATTGTTTACACTCAGGGTGACTATTTGTTCCATCCAAAAGGAAGAAACTTGAGTTTGTCTTGCATGTGCAGAAGAACTGACTTTTAATATATATTGTTGCCAAAGAATAGAAAAATAATTTCGCATACTACACATAACATACAAAGGTTTTCCATTCACAGGTTCTCATTAATGTTTCAATGTGGTGTTTTATCCCCCCCTGCTGGTCACTGGCAGAGCTGCACCGACCTTACTACCCTGGCTGTGACGTATGTTCCTGTGACGCGCAGAAATTTTAAACTATCGTCCTTCTCAGTGATGGCGGCTTCGTTTGGTTCTCTCCCTGCAAGCTGTAACAACAAATGGTACTACACCCGGGAACAGATCGACAACAACCCGTCTAAGCGAGCTGGACTTGATCCGGACAAGGAGCTGTCCTACAGACAACAGGCAGCCAACCTGCTGCAGGACATGGGACAGCGGCTCAATGTGTATCTTTTGTCGGAGGAACGATTTGCGTTCACTTTAGCTTGTTGGTTAGCATCATTAGCTTGTTGGCTAGCGAACTTTAGCTTCCCGTGAAGCCGGTTCAGCGGAGAGCATGGCTGCTACTTGTTGTTGTGTCTAGTTCGAAGGTTTTTTAGTTTGTTTGTAGGGTTTACATTAGTTTCAAGCGGTGGTTTGTGGTTTTACAACATTAACGTTAGCTTACAAGCGTTATCTAAGAGCGGCGTAGTTTGCTAAACCACGAAGGCCTGTGTGGTCGGCGGGCCTTCGGGACGTTAGCTTTAGCTTTACCTCTGACTGTGAATGCTAGTAAAGAACATGTGTAGCTAAAATGGGTAAACAAGGTTAACACACATGATTTTTTAGTGTATTAATGTGTATACTTCAGATTCGACCACTTCATTTGCAAAAACAACCATTCTCGGCTAACATGTGAAGCTAGCTGTTGCTCTGCCACTGGTGTGTTATTGAGTTTTAAAAGTCATTAGCAGTATTAAAGCTCATTCACTTGTGTTATTTTACATTTAGACCCATGACCCAGGTTCTATTTCCGATGTACATATAGAAATTCTGCTAAGTGTTTGGTGTATTTATTAATACACTTATGTAAGTTTTGATCTGTTAGTGAGATTTAGTATGTAATGCATGAAATTGTGTAACTGCATTAGTTGAACTAGTGTTTGTTTTGACCTACCAAGGGACTTGAGAAATAGTCCAGTACCTACATCTGGTACAATGCATGTCTTTTCCTAATGTGTAATTGATGTTGTCGTTAAGGACCCCTTAACTAGACCTAATGCCGGTGTTGTGATGTACTTGAACTCTTTGCTACATTATTCCTCAACTCCTATTTATCAGGTCCCAACTTACAATTAATACAGCCATTGTGTACATGCATCGATTCTACATGGTCCAGTCTTTCACCAGATTTCACAGAAATGTAAGTATTTGTTGTCTCTTTAAGCTCAGACACAGTGGCGAGTTAGTTCCTGTGTTGAACTTATTTTTGTTTTACCCTCATCAGGTTATTTCTCCAGCCGCACTCTTCCTCGCTGCAAAGGTTGAGGAGCAGCCCCGGAAGTTGGAACATGTTATCAAGGTTGCCCATGCATGCCTCAATCCTCAGGATCCTTCACCAGATGTACGCAGTGATGTAAGTATTGGGCTTTGGTCAACATTGCCAGCAGTTGTGCTCTATCTCCTCCTAAGATTACCTGATGTGGTAGAGATTTAATCTCCGCAGTATTAAATCTTAAAGGTCCCATGTCATGGCCATTTCTACTGATCATAATTCCATTGTTGAGGTCTACTAGAATAGATTTATATTCTGCAATTTTCCAAAATCGCATTGGTTTCTCATACAGCATCTCTGTATAGTATGTGTATTCACTCTCTGTCCTAAACGGCTTGTTGGAGCTCCTGCCCCCCCCCCCCCTACTGAGCCCAGTGGCTGTCTGTAAGACAGCGAAACCCAGCCCGAACACACACACCCGCAGCCTGGCTGGGAGTTTGTGTGTGTGCTCACACACCGACTCACAGCCTCGCCGCGTCCCGCCGTCTCAGGGAGGAGAAATCGGCGGAGCTGCAGCTGAGAAAAGATTGAATGTGTGAGGAAGTCCGTGGATTGGTCAATTTGGACCAATCCACGAACGTAACGGCTCCACGGATTGGGTCCATTTGGGTATGGGCACGTCACAGTACCCAGGAAGTAAACAATGGAAAAAGAGAAACCTCCAACGAGGCGTTCTGGGGCAGCATAGACAGGTCTTTTCTGTGTTAGAGTTTTACTCCCTACAGGGTGTACTTTGAGGGT